TGCTGCTTCAGATTCACTCGGCCGATCATTACGATCGACATCATTACTCAAACTTCTCGGCGCGGGCCGAGAAACTGGCGAGAGGGTTTAATTTAAAAAACCATAGTCATAGTTGGTCCCCCTTGGAAAAGGGGGAGAGAAAGGAAAAGAAACGGGAGGATTGCATCCCGGATGGGAACGGAAGGACGTTCACCTCTCTCGTGCGGGGTGGGAAGCGAATGGAAAAGAATGGAAAGGGAGGGAGAAAGGAGGCAGGGAAGGAATCGGAAAGTGGTGGGTAGGCGATACCTGCGTGTAGTGTGCAGGAATGCGATTCGATCGGATTTCGATACCTTTCGATACCCGATACCCGCCAACATTTCAGCAATCGATACCAACCTCGTTCGTGTGTTGCAGTGAGCAACCTCTCCGCTCGTCATTAATTAAACGAATTTCACCGATCGAGAGCACGCGGAAACGCTCTCGAGAGAGTCGCGCGCGAATCGTCCACGGTGGTGGAATGAACCCCATCGTTCGAGTCGCGGGTATGGATACGTCGTTGTGCGATATATATATGCGATCGATCCTCCACCTCGATGCGATTCAGGCAAGCTTCGACGAGCTTCGTCCATTTGGGTAGAGAAAAATTGAAGAGATCTTTTTTTCTTCAAGGGATGTATAATTGTTACGTATGATTATAATATAAAATTATATAGGATTATGGGGATGATTTATACGATATGTATATGTTGCAAAGATAATGAAATGATTTAAAAGATGGATTAGAGAGAGAGAGAGATTTTTATTCGATAAAATTATGATATAAGTATTCTTTAGGAATAGATAAAATTTGGTTGGCAAATTTGAAAGTGATCGAAGTGAATAATTCAAAGCGCGAGAGAATTGTTACGCAAAGCGTGTTCGTGGATGGAAAAATATGAATTGTATCGGGATTTGTTTCGAATGTTTTTTTACGCAATGATCGATTGAAAATCTAATCTTTTTGAAATCGAGTTATTCGAGCTCGAGGGCAAACACGCACGGATGCGATTCGAGCCGTTCCTTTCTTCGTTTTCACGGTGTTACGGTTCATTAAATTCAGCAGCTTGATCGGTTAATCCCTATATTTAACACCTGTTACGTTTCTCCTACTCGAAATTGCTTTCGAGTCAACCGGTTAATCGATTTCGCTTGTGCGGTTACTATCGTAACAAGATGACGCATAGATTTGTACACGAAATGACGTATCGATCTCGTATAACGAGAATCGATATTTCCATTTTGAAAAGCTTGGGAATCGTTTTTCAATTTTCTCGCGAAATTAGGAAAAAAATTAGTTTTTATATGTCGCTTCAAAAAAAAAGAAGAAAAAGAACATGTTCAGAAAGAAATTGTGATAATTATTTACCCCGATCTCGACGATTTTTTTCATATTTCTTTTCGTTTGTAAGCTCGTCACACTGAATATGAAAATTTAACTCGACTTTAATTGAAATAGGAAATTAAATTAATTTTTGTTCGACATTTTAAATTTCATTTCAATTTTCGTTAATAACTTTTTAATTAGAAGCGTGTCAAGTAAAATCTTCGCGATTCAGGATGACGACTTTGACGCCACATTCAAAAAAAAAAAAAAATTAATCACGTTCCCGCGTGATTATAAAAATTATTTCACCTTTCAACGTCTACATAGGCGACAAATTTTTCGCAAAAAAATGTATCACTTCAGGAAAAAAAAAGAAAAAAAAATAGAGACGATGAGAGTTGGAACAAAGGGATCGAGGGGAGAAGAGAATGATAATTAAAGACAAAACTCTCCGCGGAAAAAGTTCCTCTTCGAGGAAGAACTTTTGGACCCACCCCGCTTCAGACAGCCAAATCACCCCTACCTTCTTATTTTAATATACTACCGCCTATCGTTCCGCCCTTTGGCCTCTGCTTCGCGTCCCAAACTACCGGAAGCGCAGTCGATAAAAAGTCGTGGCGAAGCACGGAGGATGAGGAGTGGCGCTATTTCTCTTTTCCTCGCGCCCCTGTCATGCTTCCAATGGAATTGGAACGTCTATGTGCTAAACTTCCCCAGAAACGAGAAACTTCCTCCCAGCTTCTTTTTTTTTTTTTTTTTTTTTTTTTTTTCCTTCATCGAAGTGGAAGAGACTTCGAACCGCGAGATTCTTGGCGCGTTTTGACAAACTTTCGTTCGATTAGATCGTCGTTAATTTACTGTTAACTACGTCGATTCGTCGAATAATTTTTGAAGAATGGATTCTTTTCTTTTCCATCCAAGAGAAAATATTTATTACAGTTTCTTCTTTAATTATTATATCCTTAAATTCTTGTATACAATTTGTATCAAGTGAATAATTTTTGAAGAATGGATTCTTTTCTTTTCCATCCAAGAGAAAATATTTACAGGCTTCCTCTTTAATTATTATATCCTTAAATTCTTGTATATAATTTGTATCAAGTGAATAATTTTTGAAGAAAATTTCTTTTCTTTTCCATCCAAGAAAATATTTATTACAGCTTCCTCTTTAACTAATCCTAAAATTATATCCTTAAATTCTTGTATATATAATTTTTGAAGAATAGATTTCTTTTCTTTTCCATCCAAAAGAAAATATTTATTACAGCTTCCTCTTTAACTATTACATCCTTAAATTCTTGTATATAATTTGTATCAAGTGAATAATTTTTTAAGATTTCTTTTCTTTTCCATCCAAGAGAAAATATTTACAGCTTCCTCTTTAACTAATTATATCCTTAAATTCTTGTATATATAATTTTTGAAGAATAGATTTCTTTTCTTTTCCATTCAAAAAAAATATTTATTACAGCTTCTTTTTTAACTATTA